ACAGCAATAAATATTAAAATACAATAAAACAATATAAAATACAGTAAAAATAGAATAAAACGAAACACAATATTATGAGATAACTTCTTTGCAGAGCTGTTCCCGTTTGTGAAGTCTCTCGTTCAACAGCTCTTCTAGTCAAAGGGCATAGGCACTATTAATTTATTCTGAAGAGTAGAAAGGGGGGTTTAAGTGGGCACTAACAAATCTGACTCCATTATTCTTTCTCTACACAATGAAGGGTCCATGTCAAGGGAACACGATTAAAAAGAGGAAATAACCCCTCCTTTCCTAAAAGATGTCAAAACCTACCACCACTACAATTGTTAAAACTAGAATCCCAAATTAAAATTAAAGAGAACAGGAAGGGCACACTGGAGTGAGTGTAACTTCTCCCTCTCAATCTTTTAAGTTTGGACAAATACTATGAATTTTAATGCTGCAAACTGCTAGCCTGAATTACCAGAAACTGAATTCCTACCCAAGAAAAAATATATTCATGTGGGATAAAGCTGAATCTTTCCCTTCCTCACTTTCAGTTTAAAACCTAATAGAGAGCATTTTGAAAGATGTTTCTTCTTACAAAAAATAACAGCAGACTTCTTTGAGCCTTTCTAAGAGCCATAATTGAAGACGCTGATGGACTAATAATATAGTTTCATTGCAGATCTCAAAGAAGTTCTTAAAAAATGATTCATTCTTGTATTTACACATGGGGAAATGAACTGTTACTGGTCACAGGTCATTCTTTTCCTATTAACTATATCTATAGATCCAGTCCTATAAATAATTCATGCTCAAGAATCTTAACACAATGAAAATAAAGAACTGTAAGTAGAAAATACAGCACCCCAGTAAATGCTTTGTTACCAAGGCTACAGAATGGCTGGGAAGTAATTCGGATACCTACTTGTGACCCTTGAAGAATCGTGTCACAAGACGGCCTTCCTCCACATTCAGGATATGAATGGATTTATCCTTGGATACTGTGAAAAGCTCTAGAGTACAGAGGGAGAAAACCCACACCATTACATAAGACCAAATTCCAAAGGGCAGCCTTTCCTAACCTGGTACCTTTCAGAGTTGTGGACTTTAATGCTCATCCTGGTTGAGGATTATGGGGTTTGCATATATTACCTTAAAATATGCAACATCATCTATAAAAAAAATTAGAGTTGTCTCTTTTTCTTAGCTATTCTGAAGTCCTTAGCCCTTACCAATCTATAATCCAGAGAGAAAGGCAGCTTAACCAGCTTGTGTCATTCTAAACTGGCCATTTCTTAATTCAAAAAGATTCCTGTTTTTACCAGTTGCATAACTAGAAGATGCCTGGCAGGTTCTGTTGCAACTGCTGCAAAGTAGATGATAACAAGCTGTACTTGCTACATTTCTCCTAGTTAGATTTTCAGGACTATGCAAAACACCCAAACAGGACGTGGCTATCAGCTTTTCATTGTGAGTGTAGTTTCCTATCTTGGATCCTTAAAGGATTTTAAAATGTACATTATTTCTGAAAAAGAATCCCACTCCAATAGGCTTAAGAGCAGCATTGTGTGCTCTTGCTTCCTACTGTGATAGCCATAAAGATATGATAAAACCAAAAATACTGGTGTTTACAAAAGGCCAGTGGCACAGAACTAAATGGGCACTGTTTAGAACAAGTAAACTGTTTTAAATACCTTAGAATAATATTTCATGATTCAGGGATCAGGCATGCCCATAGAGATTATGAGACACAAAATGCATCTAAACCCACATTAGCTGTCCAAGCATTTTACCATTCTTGGATTGCCCAGTTTGTTCCTGCTGCAGAAAAACTCTTTTCAGCAAAGGCTTGTGGCAGCTCTTTCATGAAGTACATTTTGGTATTTATGCCAACTTCTCAAAGGTTGAGTTGGTTTAGCCTGTTTCTGAGAAATAGTCATGTGCCTTGACGTCTTTCTAATGTAGTTCTTCATATGGAAGCAGGATTACTTAAAGTTGAAATCAGCATATGGGCTAACATCTTTGAATTTAAAGCTTGCCATTTTCCCTGTGGGCTTAGCACCATTTGTGCTGTGCTGATCCCTTTACTTCAAAATGGAAAGAAGGACTCGAGAAGCTGCATTACTATGGCTTTCCTCCTCATGTACTAATAACAATGGGATATGACTCTGCCAGGAAGAACCTCAGCCAACAAATACAGGACAGGGAGCATCCAACTGAACATAATCTAATTCCAGCTAATGTTTTCCTAGGTAATAAGTTACCAGTCATAAACCTGCCAGATACCTTAATTTGATTACTATGCCAAAATATTGAAAAGCTCTGATGCTTGCACACTGTAATACCTTCCAAACTGCAGCACTGGAAGGGAAATCCTATAAAACCTCTTACAATGAATGCCTCTATCAATATTAAGTCAGGAATCACTGAAACAACAGATGAAGTGCTTCTGAACACTGTCAGCATTATCAAGATCTGTAACATAAGCTTATAGCACCTTCACTAACTCAATAGCCAGGCTGTACTGTCTCTTTTAATCTTAAGTGTATTTAGCTGATCCAGAGCAACGCACTCTCCTATAATGTCACTAAGCAAGGTTTGGCAGGACCTTACTAGGAAAGTGTGACTTGATTAAACTTGCTCAATGGGATTTGCATATTTAGTAATAATAATTAATCCTATTTATCTGCTTCTTGCTACAATTTATGATGACTGCTTAAGAAATACCTCTGTGGGCCATGATTTTTTAAATTTCTATCTTATATGATGTTAAGGCTAGTCAATAACAACAAGACATAAAAGCAAATGTGTTATTTGTCTCTATTATAGGCCAACCAACAAGATGTGAATCATGCTTTCAAAAAGGAAACTGCAGATCTTTCAAGGTAGCACATAGTATTGATGACAGGCATTTTAATTTATCACAACTTCTTTAGGGAGGCAAACTCTTGTACGAATGGTCCTTTCAAGACATTTTTTACCTGTTTTGTTGACAATTTACTCTTTCAGAAGAAGGCACAAGAGGATCAATTACATGTCATTTGATACCAACCAACAGGAAAGACTATTTATGAAATCAAAGTAGTAATCAAAAAAGACCATGCTATATGTGAGTTCCTGATTTTAAAGATTTTAAAAGTTTAAAAAAATGTAAAATTGGAATTCAGAAAGCTGATTTTACAAACTTAAACCAGTGGTAAGCAGGATTCCTTGGCAGAAGACACAAACAAAACAATCTTAAACAATTCTGGTGAGGAAAAATGGAACAGAAGAGAAACTAATGTGGGTTCCCAAAAACTTAATGAGAATCTAAAATTAAAATGGATATAAATTGTGGAGGTCAAAAGAGAGACAGGCAAGGAACAGCACACACACTGATACCCCAGAATTGCACAAATGAACTTGGTTTAACAACTCAGCCATAATGTGGGTTTTGTCATAAATTGGAATAATTTGAGTTCATATAACATGTTATTTAAAAAACCTAGGCAATGATACCAAAGTAAGGACATTTCTCCATTTTTTGGAAACTTACCATTTTGCTACATTCACCAAATGGTTTCTTTTATTTTTAATTAATTAATTAATTTTTAGCATCCTTGTCAACCTCAGCCCATTTTAAATGGGCTACCTCTGCATAGTCTTCTTTGGTGATTTTTACCACTTTCTATATAGATCCTGTTTGATATTCAACTCTTTGCTAAGCTTTTTTTGCCACAACACTGGCTGCTTTTGCTTTTTCTAATTTTTTCCTTCCCATTACTTGCAAATGAGCGTTTAGTATTTTCTTTTTCAAGGAACTCTTTTTCCCACCAATCTCTTCATGGAATCCTATTTACTCGTGTTCCGAGTTTATTAAAACTTAACTTTTACTTCTGCAAGAAGATGAGCTGAAGTTATTTCTTCCAAGAAACAGTACAAAAACCATAAAAAGAGCAAAAAAACACATCCTAAGGCAGTGTTGTCCAAACTTGGCCACTTTAAGATGAGTGGACTTCAACTCCCAGAATTCCATGGCTGGCTGGGGAATTCTGGAAGTTGAAGTCCACTCATCTTAAAGTGGCCAAGTTTGGACAACACTGTCCTAAGGAGAAGGGCGCTCACTTTGTCCGTCTTGTGAAAAGGATATTTTCCGGCAGGATTTTAAATGATGACCTGAGGACCAAAGTTCTTTGTTTCCACCTTCCAAACAGGAGTATGAATATCTGTAATTACAATTTTAAAATGGTAAGAGACGCATCAGAAGCCTATTCAAATAATTCCCTCACTCAATAGTCCCTATCTTTAAACCACACACATATACCCAACCATCCTCCCTCTCTCTACTATAAATACACATACCCCTCTTTTACAGTGCATACACCTCTCTCCTACAACACACATACAAACACCTCCCTCTGCCACACATACACATAGCTACCCCACTTTCAGTAACACACACACATATATACTCTCCCTGCTCTCCCGATCATACCCACCTCTCATCTCAGCTAAGCACTAGTTTTCTCCAGCAGACACAAAACCTCCCTCTTACTATTACACTTCTCAATCTCTCTCCACCCCCTCAGAATCATTGTTGATATAACACCACATACATTCCTCCATTACACAAAAGCACTTCCTCTCTTTAAGAGACATACAGACACAATCCTAATTTCTCTCTCTCCCCACACAATCCCTATTGTGTAATACATACACACATAATAATACTCTTCTTCCTTTCTAGCACATAACACACCCTGGATGGCCCTGACCCAGACCTCCCTCTCTCAACCACACCCAGCAGTGTATGCATCTTCCTTCTCAACTGCACCCAGATGCTTTCTTCCTTCCACATACATAGACATTCTGTCCCCTCAGGCACACAGGTGGGCCTCTTCTTTTCTCAGTCACATATATAGACCCCACCAGACCTCAATTCCACCTGCGTCTTCTCTCCCTCAGTCACACTTGAATCAAAACCCATTTGACCACTTACAATCCCCTCTCGTAACTGCACATTCTCTGGCCTGTTCACAAAAATACACATCCTCTCTCTCTCTCTCCAAAAGACATGAATCTGTTGTCCACCCCATCCAAATGCCCGCTGTCTCAATCACAGGCATACAGACACCCTTCCTGTGCCTTCTTTCCTCCACAGGTAATTACCTTTCTCACCTACAGACAAGCACACACACAGTCTCTTTACTGCACACAAAGTTTTTCTCCTTCTCTCTCAATTATGCACAGAACCTCTCTATCAACCACAGACACTCTGTTTCTTAAGCAGGCCCAGACAGCAACGTCTGGTCCTATCATCATACAGAGACACAATCTCAATTTCCCTATTTCTTTTTCTCTCTCTCTCTCTCACACACACAGGCACCCATGTTCTCTCAGCTACTCTTTCTTAGCCACATACCATCTCTATCTCTTAACTGCTGTCCCAAAATTCTCTTCTGTGCCTCTCCGGTCCACATATCCACAAAGTGCCTGGCTCTCAACCACACTCAAAGAGCCACTGTTCTGTAAGGAACACATACTATTTCAATGTACACAGATATCTTCTTTCTCTCTTAATCAGTCAGCAGAACCCACCCCCCACTAGAGACACTGTCTCCCTTCCCCACCTGAGCAACCTGTCCTCTTAACTACATGCACACAATTACCCCTTCTTGCTCAACTAACCCACACAACAACTGCATACTCTTTCTATCATATAGAACCTCTCTCTCAGTCTCAGAAACACACAGCCTTTCTCTTTCTCCAACACATCTCATTTCTCTTTTTGGTATGATTTCTACTAGTGACTCACAGCATCTTCTAAAGTCATCCCAACATGGTTGTGGTGCTATAACAGTAACAGGACAGATTACTAGCTCCATGATGGCTGGATGAAGCCACAAGATGCTGTAGGTCTCAAGTGTGGAAGCCTTAGCCTTACCCACATTTCTTAGCCTTACCCACATTTCCTGTCACTACCCATCACAGAGATACTCTTAAGCAGATACCCCTTCTCAAACATGTTCTTCCACAGAGAGAATAATACTCTCTCTCTCTTAGACATACACAGATAGCATCTGTAGCTACACATGCATACAACCTCACAATGATGCAAACACACATTCCTTCTTTTTCTTAGACACTTATGTAGATCCATCTCATTGAACTACTGATGCACCAGGAAAGGTTTTCTACAATTTCCATATACATGACCCAATAAGAAGGCTCAACCAGTAAATTTCTCTGAGAAGCTATACTCACACATAGACATCCCCATCAACATCTCCAACAGCTATGATGTCCTGGGAGGGGTGAAAGTCAATGGTATTTGCTGCTGCCTCAAAGAAAATGTCTTCGGGGGTATCTTGAAGTCTAGGCTCCAATCCAAGTTCTTCCTCATCTGAATATACCTGGGTGGAGGAGAAAACAAGATAACCAAATCTTAATAGCAGCTTTACAGTCCCTGACTAATGTCATTAGCATATTCCCTGTAAAAAATATAT